AATACTGTCCTGATAGCGCCGATAATAGCATTACTCCGATCTGAGACAATTGTCACTTGTGTTGATCTGGTTATCTCTTTCAGATTCTATAGATACCAAATCCATTCATCATTTGTTTCTCCACTAACAATACCATATGCTAAAAGAAACAACTCATTGTCTGCATCAAATGCACAAGTTGATAATAAAGTTCCTTTGTAAAGACCACTCAAATGACATCCATCTATATAAATAATTGGTCTACAACCTTCCACAAAGCCTTTAATTGAGCATCCATATGCAATGAATAGCCTCTCAAATCGGTTGCTATCTGAGCCTTCCCATCTTGCAACTGTGTCAGGATCAGTTTCTATTAGTCTCTCACACATCCAAGGGATTACCTTATAAGAATCTTCTACTTGACCATGTAATTCCATTAGTGCTCTTTTCCTAACCCTATATGCTTGAGTATAGTTCAATTGCACTCCATATTCTTTATACAAGTCCTTTCTAATTTCATTAGGACTCTTGTCAACATTGCACCTCAAGTCATCAATCACAATTGATGCAGCTAAATTTGACCTTCCTGAGTGAGAAACAATTAAGTTGTCCTGTGCATGATGAATGTGTTCACTTTTGTACGTTCTGATAGTTAAAAACTCAGTATCTTGATGTGCTCCCATTGAATATGCACCCATATACCATGGACAACCATCGACCTTGCACTTCACAATGATCTTTTGCTAATTATTCTTAATGAAAAGGTACAAAAACTTCTGGCATAAGCTGTACTTGTATAATGTTTTTCGGAGAGTAGTGGCATTTGGAAATATTTGTCCTTCTCCAATAATCAAATCCTTCCATTTTATGGAATTCATTTGTGGTGTAGGTGTTAGGATCATTTCAACAGCACAAGGAATTGATTGTGACTCTCCAATCACATCAAATAAGGTAGGTGGAGACATAGACAATTCATTGACACCTCCAAATAATTGATCAATCCTACAGAAAATGACAAGTCAGGGTGCATGCATTGACAAGTTAGTAGCAATATAGTAACAACTGACATACTCAGAAATCACAATAACAGTTTTGTTAAACTATACTTACACATCTTGCTCCTTCATTGTATTATCCCTTGTTGCTTCTATGTGGTCCTCATTTTCATTTTCTTCGATACACACATGACCACTCTCTTCATTGAACTTTATCAAATGTTCCACCCCATCATCATCTACCAACTCCACAAAAGTTTTTTTATCAAACACAACTGAGAATTTTAGAAGAAATGAGTTGCTTTCTTTTCCAGCAATTGATGATATAATTTCCTTCAATTCTTCATAACTTGTGCCCTCCTTTACATTGGTTGTTCTTACACTACCTCTCACATATCTCATATTATCTTCTCCATCATTTATAAACTTTCCCCCTATGTGAACAAAGCAAAATAGATGTTTTCCAGACGTACTCGCCATCAGTAATTTAAACCTGCATCAAGAAGCACGCAACTGTCATTGACAGCTTAAGGAGCTAGATTGACAAGTGTTGCGGCACACATTGACAACAACACAGCTTGATTGACAACACAATCCTATTTCGTGCTAAGGATTTCTACCTCACTAACCTTCATCTTTTTCTTCCTTTGCCACTAAACTAACGCCAGAACAGAGGAAAACCACCCAAAAACAACCCAAAAACAGAGCACCCATGATCATTCTACACACCCAACTTAAATCACAACACACACCAACCAAAAACACGGCTTTTCCATTTATTAACTTGTGAATCCTAAACCAAAAACCAAAGCTTTGAAATACCAAAGGCAAAAATGATTTTTTGATTTCCCATTCCCAAACAAATGCACAATTTGTCAAGAAAGATAGGAGAGGAGAGAAAAGAAAGTTTCACACCTGAAAATTTGTCAAGATTCACATGGAAGCACTATGGAATTCACTAATGGTAATGGAGAAGATATTTCATCATCAATGGCTCCTTCTCTCTTTCCCAATGTCTTCTCCCTCAAGCATATAGCGCAGAAAATCCTCACAGAAGTTCATTCTCCCGTCTTTTTTTTCTGATGGCAAGGGCAGGGCAAAACAGTAATTAGTGGATTCTGAAAATTGCGTCTAAGTCCCTTTGGGACTTCAAAAAAATTATCAAATTTCAAGAGACCTATTTGATGTATTTTGTTCTCCATGGGACCTCAATGTCATTTTCCCATTAAATATTGGGTCCATTTAGCTTTTAAAATCAACCTATATATATATCAAATAAAATTTATAATAAGATTACATTATAATTCATAGCAATTAGCGATACTAACTAATCATGGCCCCCACCTCTTCAGATTGACGAGGACTTCCACCTACATTGAAAGGAATGACTACCAATGAGGAACGTATTATAATGAACTGTGTCAGGTCGCGTTCCTTTCTTTCAACAACTTTGAATTTTCATGAGCTAAGCGCAATGAATGCACAGAAAGTGAGTTATTTTCATTAAGTGGCATTAAGTTTTGAATTGAAGGCTGAAGAAAGTTTCACCAAAGAAAAAAAGATATTTTCTACATTTAAAATTGCTGTTCTCAAAATGTTTTTGAGTAAAATATAAAATAAAAAAATTAAATATAAAATGTTCAAATATAAATTTAGATTATTTAAATTTAATCCCAAGAAAAAAGAGAGGAAGAAGAATGGATACACTAACACCAACCTTGAATATTCTGATAATGCTCTCATTTGATAGAAGATATATCGTCCGGGTTAAAGGAAAGAAACCTGTCTGAGAATATTCTCATGGGAATAATATACTAATGAGAATTCAAGAATCTCTTTGTATGAGACTTTTGATTACTTGTTTAGAGAATTAACTCAGATTGCTTTAGATCACCACTGTGTAGATACTTGGCAATACAGCAATAAGTATAGCTGCTTGATTTGCTGATGACAACTGCGTGGTGGAAGTTTACATTAATTTTTATGAAAAATTTAATATTTTTAATTATTTTTATTGATACTTCTCTGGTCCTATTTTATATAATGTCGGACGTAGTTACCGCGCATTCAATCTCATTTTCTAACACAGGAAAAAAAAATTTTTTAATAACCTTTTGGGTCACTCCATATCCGGCACTTTTTCTGGATCCTATTATCAGGTATCTGAACAATCAACTAATCCGGACTGAGCTTTGTAGGACTACTTTGAGTGGCAGGCTCTCCCAACAATTTTTAACACAGTAGGGCTCGAACATGAGACCACTGGTTAAGCTGAATGAACCCCTTACCAGTTTAATCAAGCGCTTGTTAGTCGGAAAAAAACCTTATTAACTTAGTCAAATATTTTGTATTTATTATATTAAATTCTCCAAATATTTTGTATTTATTATATCAAGTTCCCAAATCACATTTTACCATGTAGTCTTTTTTGTTTCATATAAATTTATAATTAAATGCTAATATTTCAAAACTAGTACACATGATAATGTATCATTAGAGAAATTGAAATAATTAATATAAAGAATTTGACATAAGTATTGTCCTTTAATAAACACATATATATGAGTAAAAAAATTAAAAAATACATTGACTACTCTCTATATTACTTTAATTATATAATTATGTATCTTCTATTTTTGAAACCTACATGAAGCTACCTAAAATCAATAGTGTCACAAAACACAAACTTTTCTTCTACTTTTAAGATATATTTTCATCCAACTATTATGAACTGATGGTTAAATTTCACATGTTGGAATGAAATACCCACATTTAAACATAGGTGTTGTTTAAAAATCATTTAATGATAAGTTTACTTAATGAAATAATTTTTTACAAATTTAAATACGTGAGTTGACAAAATAATATATCAAACGTAAAAAATAAACTTATAATGAAAGTTTACTTATTTAATGATTTTTTACTTTTCAAAATAAAGGAATGTAATTATTAAAAAAAAATCCCATGACATGTGGATGACAAATTCTCGCATAAGGAATGGCAACAAATTTCATAGTTTCATACCGCGATTTCTATCAATTATATTCGTTTTTGTATTTTTGAGACCTCACAATAACTTTTCTTTTATTTTTTCTTCAAGCAGCCATTATGCAAAAGTAACAGCTTCCAACAAACATCTTTGGTACGGATATCGTTAATAAATGCAGCTGCCAAATCAAAATGTTAAGAGTCAAGTCAAGGAAGTAGGAGATCGCCGCTTCAGCTGAGTCACACAACGTGGTGCGTCCTATATATTTTGGTGTGGGCTGCTGAGCAGAGCAGAGTAGATCAACTTTCTCCTCCTCCTTCACATCTGCTGGCGCTTATCTATCTGCGGTTTGTTGACTAAGTTTAGATGGCAGATACAATGCATGATACTGAGATGAATCACACAGAGTTGGCCTCTGATGAGACCGCTCAACAAATGGTGGAGCTACATCCACTTATCTCGTCTCAATCTGCATCAGATTCATCCTCCCGACTTGCAACAACCACACGTACGCATCATACTTTACTACTCTTTTTCTTCAATTCTCAAGCCTTTTGTTGTTTTCTTTACTTTCTTTTTAAGGTTGCTTCTGTTTAAATGCCTCAATTATTAGACTTTTTTTATAGCCTTATTTTGCTTCACCTTCCAAACATATATACTTATCAGATTGCAAGTACATGCACCTGTGCTTTTCTTTGTTTTATCCTTTTCTGATTTTTAACAAATGGTAATGAGATTACGGTTCAGTTATTGAGAAAAGAAACATTTATATTTCCCAAGATTTATGGCCACCATCATTGCCTTGCTAATTGTGCAATTTCTGCTTTCCTTCAATTTAAATTGATGTATAGACGGAAGATGAGACGATCAGCATAGACATAGAAGCATTGACAGAGCTTGGTGAAAATGGTCTCTCGTGAGGTTTGTGTTGCATCTACAAGGCGCCCCCAATTATCCGTCTTCTAAACAAGGAAGCCTACGCTCCTAAGGTTGTTTCCATAGGTCCTTTCCATCATGGGGATGTGAGACTGAGAGATATGGAGAGGCACAAAGAAATAATGTTTAAGAGATTTGCAAAAGACATAGACTTGGACGGTTTAGTTAACTTTGCAAAACAATTTGAGCCACATGTCCGTGCTTCTTATTTTGAGAGCATCAACTCCAGCAAGGAGGATCTTGTGAAACTGATATTAGTCGATTCTGCCTTCATCATTCACCTCTTTATGATGCGCTATAGACGTCACATGGAAGGCGATGCTAAACTATCACAAACACGGCTAGGGGAGGATATATTTGGTTATTTACTTTTACTAGAGAATCAACTTCCATTCTTTTTCCTTGAAGAGCTATACAATATAGCCTTTCCTTATAATTGTAGAGGTGATCTCCCTTCATTTCTTGAGCTTACATATTCCTATTTTAACCGTCTTAACATGCAAGAGTTAGAGCCTAAACACAAGATAAAGCATTTCACAGATCTTCTCAGATTATTTTACTTACCAACAACCCAACCGAGAAGGAATGAATTGAAAGAAGATGGATCTGATATGCTTAGGTATAGTGCAAATGAGTTACAAGAGGCAGGAGTGAAGGTGGAGGTTAGCAAAAGTAAGTGCTTACTAAACTTGGAATTTTCAATACCTGTTCTACATATTCCTCAAATTAAAGTCGAAGATATGACTGAAATTTTGTTCCATAATGTGATGGCTTTAGAACAGTATCATTATCCATTTAAAACATATTTTCATGACTATATGTTTATTTTGGACAACCTAGTTAACACAAATAAAGATGTGGAAGTTCTTGCTCATGAAAAGATTATCAACAACTGGCTAGATGATCCCAAAGAGGTTGCTACATTATTTAACGGTCTTGATAAAAATATAAATCACTACAATTTCGATAAAGAACATTTTGACATTTCCAAAAGTTTGAATGAGTTTTATGAAGATCCTTGGCACAAGAGAAAGGCAACTTTGAGGAGAGATTACTGCAACACACCCTGGCAAACTGTGGCTTCTATTGCTGCAATCATACTGCTCAGTCTCACCATCATTCAAACCCTATGTTCCATCCTCCAAGCTGTACAAAAGTAGCAACCTACGTTTGAAGCTTGGTAGTATATTTTGGTTTTCTGTCCTTGAAAATTTATGTTCCCTTGCTGATTTTATTTAGCCTTTACTGTTGCATCATTTGTAAAATAATAATAATAATAATAATAATTGTGATCCTTATTCTTCGTTTTCTTTATCGATAACAAACAACACAATATAGAACCAATTATGATTAAGTATAAAATATCAACTCTTTTCCATCCAATAATTTACAAAATCACTCATCAAAATATTTATGCGTTAAGGTAGGAAATCTAAATAACCAAACCTGATATGTTCGGCTATTATAAACTTGCAGTGAACTCTCCATTTAACACAGAGCAAGGAGCACTGCCGCAGTTATTATATGTTCCTTATGTCCTGGCATTCAATATGGATCAGACTTGCCCTTGCACCTAAATCACATTTTCCAAGGAGCCCATTCTTTCAACATGTATTACAATTATCCTTGTTTTGAAATAATTGTATAGTGAGTTAATTTTCAATGTTATTGAAAGCATATCTTTCAACATAAGTTACTGAACAATCTTCATGATATTTAAAAAAAAAAAACAAGAAGAAGAAGAAGCTGTTTCTCCTGTTGTTGTGTCAACAAGCACAACCATTGCTGACTTCAGAAAAAGATAAGCCCATGGATAAACATGTGTTCCAATTCAATTTCAACTATTTTGTTTCACAAGACCACTAATTCCTTTAAAAGATACAAATTCAACATTACTGGTGATAAAAGTCTCAAGCTGGGAAGAAAGGTTACCTAGATAATAAATCTTTCCCAATCTCAACTGCGTCTTTATTTAATAGATAACAAATTGGTTTGATTTAGACAAGCATTGTAATGAAGCAGATTATTATATGTTGTTTCTTGAACTTGATGACAGATTTTCTAAATTAACTTCAATTTGTTATTATAGTATATTTGATTCTTAAATAAGATATAAGATACAAGATAAATAAAATTCAAACGAGGATATTGTTTTATAAAAATTAGGTAAATTATGCATAATCTCCATGAATTTTAAATCATGTACAGATAACATTATAACCTTTGGAACTTTCCAATGAAGCCCTTAAACTTTTATGTTTATGCAAATAATTATACCTCATGCAGCTTAAAGTTTTGGAAGATTATTTATAGATCAATCAAAATGGGTATATAACTACTAATGAAGAGTTATTCGCATAGACTTAAAAATTGATAAAGGTCTATTATTAAATTTTAAAGGTCCATGATTATTTGTAGATGATTGAAAGTTTATAAGAGTTTGAATTTGTGTAATTCGGTATTAAAATTATAATAAAGTTTAGGTTTGATGGGTTAAAATTAGGCTTAGCTTTAAGCTAAACTACACGTCCAAAGAAAAATGAACGGGGCACAATGGGATTTTTTTTTTTTTTGGGTTTTGGGATTGGGATTTCGGATTATGTGCTATTTCGTAAATTTGAAAACTTGTGTGTCATCATGCTCCAAACAAACGAGCAATTTCTCTCTGTTTTTAGATTATATACGATATGATATGTAATATAGTGATACAAAAAAACAGCTTATTACTGACGGAGTTAGCAACGGAATCCGTTGCTAATTTGTGATAGAAAATTATTCCATTGCTAATGGATTACTGTTTGTCGCTAAATTTAGTGATGGATTGGCAATGGAATTTCTGTCCGTCACTAAATTAGTGACATAATTTTTCTGTCGGGAATTTTCATTGCTAATTCCGTCACTAATTATAATTATGAAACTTTTAGTGACGGAATTATCGACGAAAAAATTCTATCGTTAAATTGTTTGTCACAGAAATTTTTGTCACTAATTCGGTCACTAATCTATCACTAATTTTAAATTTTATTATTTTAAATTACGATCTTACAATAATTTATATAATAACTGTGTTAAATATCCTTGACTGTGTTGTGGGACTCCGTCTTGTCTATGTTATAAGAGATTGTTAACTAATTCACATGTACTAATGACTACACCAAGTTTTAATATTATTTAATTTATACTTTCTCACTATTTTCATTAAATATGAATATGTATGAATATATATATAAATATTTAATGCTTATTAAAATTATTATAAAAATTTATAAAAAGGACCAAAGTTTGGCGAGCATGGCGCAGGTGGTTCCCGTACATTCAATAATGGACAAAAACGAGAGATGGGGTCATGCGAGGGCTTAAAAGACATTGGCCAATGAAACGGAGACAACCACAACTAAGAAGGGAGGGATTGACTCTTAAAAATATCAAATATACTGATGCTTAATATAAGACTTAATTAATTAATTTGAAAAAATTAGAGAATTATTAAATTATTTAATTGTAATATATATTATATAAGCTCTCTAAAATACTCATATGTATCATTATATTATATATTAATTTATTAGTGAGTCAAATTAATTTCAAAAAATAATAAATATAAATGTTTTAAATTTATTTGGTAACTTTCTTAATATCCTCTTGATACGATCTCTGTTACCAACTTGCAATGCACCATCGTTCAATATACTCCTCTGATCTTATTTATAGGACACCAAGAGAAATTTTTTATATGGATGTGCAATTTTATCCCTCATTTATTATTGTGTTGACTTTTTTTATGTGAGGTATAATATATATTAAATAAGGATAAAGTTGGAAAGTCATTAAAGTTTAAATGAGAATTAATGAAGTTTAAGGTTTTCTTAGTATGTGTGAAACATACTAGAAGTACCTTATAAATAGGACAAGAAGAGTACTTTGAAAGGCACACTGCCACAGTTATTATCTGTTCCGTACATCCTGGCATTCAATAATATGCATCAAAGTAGTCTTCAATGCGAAGCACCTCCAGCTGTAAATACACCAGCCAGTCACATACACAGATATATATGTGTGTGTGTACATATCCCTCCGTCTCACTTGTGTAAGAAAAACTTTGTCCTAGATAGACTATAAGTTACTTCTAAACTATTTCAAATTTAATATCATTTTGCAAACTATATAAGCGAGTTACATACTATGTATGCTTCTCCTTAACAATCAATGCGCATTTAGGAACATATGATAAAGAAAATTACAAAATATTACCTTCCTCAGTTTGAATTGAATTGTCAAAAATCTTTCGAGCAAGTAGAGGGCGGGCTGCTTTCCTCTTTAACTTTTCAAAGAAGTGGAATACAGATAACAAGCAGGGACTATTAAATTTTTTATTGACGTGCTAATTATAATACGCCTTCTTCAACGAGTGTCGTGTGGATTGCTGAGCACTAGGGCAGTGTAGGTCGACTTTCCTCTCTTTCTTCAGTAATACATACTGAACCCGACATTGGCTTCTACTACTGCAAAAAAAAGATATTTTAAAATGAGCTTTTCACACAGCAGTTTTGAAAACGATGCTTATGCCATTGATATTAAAAGTTAGAAGATTTCACGGTGATTTAAGAACTGCTCTATGGGACGTGATTTTTCACAACCGTTATATGAATAACCATCGTGGATAGTTTAATGAATAACCGCTGTAGATAGGTTTTTTTTTTTAGCTTCTCTCTCATCCTATTGATCAGGATGGAATGGGAAAATAAAGCTCAAAGGGAAGGGGCTTGAGAATCAATCAACAAATAACCTACCACAGCCAAAAGCATTCCAATGGAGCAGAAGTAGACCCTTTAATTTTATCTTTTATTTAATATTATGTTGATTTTGTTTTTATAGGGTATAATGTACATTAAATAAGAATAAAGTTGAAAAGTAGTTAAAGTTTAGATGAAAGTTAATAAAATTAAAGATTCTTATTGGTTTGTATAAAACATATTGAAAATGACTTACATATGGTATTTTATTGTCACATCCCGAGAAACTTCACATGGACTTGGGGAATTAAAAATTGAGATGAGGATCAATGTAGAAACTAGACAAGAAGATGGAACAACTTTTGATGTGAAACCCTGATAAGGTTTGGACTGACATTTTCGTAATTATCGGTATAGGAAAGACAAAATCGGAAAATTTGAGCAAAATTCTAAAAAATTCCCGAAAAATAAGAAAAGTATAAATTAAAAGTTTTCGAAACTTGATTTAGGCCCGAAAGGTGGAATTATGGTGAAGATTAATTGTTACAAAATTTCCCATAAACAGAGATTTTTCCGGAAAATATTAGAAAATCATAGAAAAATAATTATTTTAATTAGTTAGATGTCTCAATAAGTTTGGAAAAAAATACGGATAGATTATCTAAATATTTATTTGAATTTATAAAATTGGTTTTAGGTCTTGAAAGCTCAGGAATTAATTTTAGAAATTTATTTTCCCGCAGTGACACCGATCAAAGCCTAATCGGAGAAAATTCAAAATAAATATCTACAGGTATCAAAAAATTATGAAAATTTTCAGATTATGTTCTCATATTAAAAGGTGAATTATCATGAATAGAAATGAATTTTTGGAGGTCTGAAAAAAATATGGAATGTTACCAGTGAATAGTAACCGATAAAGTTTCAAATTGGTTTGGGATTTTGATTTGGAGTGTGGGCCATCTTTTGGGACCAGCCCAAGCCATTTGTGGGACCCACATTGAGTCCAATAAGGATCCAATTTCATTGCTTGCTGCCCATTCCACAGAATTAATTAAAATAAATGCAAAATTAAGAGATAATGCATGGAAAAATCTAGATTATGGCCACTTGTGATGATCTGATTTTTTTGGCTGTTGATGGCTGCCACATACACCCCTTGAGGTGTCCCAAATTTGGCCAATGGAAGGGACAAGGGGACAGATCAGATTTTCTGTAAATACCTCCTCCTAAAATACAAAAAAATGTTGGAAAAATAGAAAAACAAGGGGAGGTTCTGCCACTTTGTTTCCAGCACTCACCAACCAAAATTCTTAAGTGTTTTGGGCAATAATTACTCAGTTTTTATTAAGAGAACATCAAGGTATGTATGAGCCTCCTTATCCCTAAGTTCTACACTATTTTGGTTAGGGTTTTGAGTTGCAAAA